TACATGGCAAGGCCAGCGTAGAATACGAAATCGCTGATACACCCCCCCCCCCCACACACACACACACACTCACACAATTCTACAGTTTTTCGCACACCAACCGTTCTGGCTTCCGTCTCACGCGCGTGCTTCGCCTAGGCACCGGCGCGTCATCACATAGTCCTGACGATGGAGCTCTTTCAGGAAATGCAACATGAAATTCAGTCTCACACATATCACTGGCATGAGGCAACTCAGTGTCACCACGCGCTTCATCATCATGCTCATGCTTGAGTGAGGAATGCCGACGGTGGTCCTCGTGTAATTACCAAGCACGTCATTGCGGACTTTAACAATTTTTCCTGGGCGCCACTTCATGATCTCACCGCAGACAGTACGTACAAGAACATAATAACCAGCGCAAAACACACGTGGCAGGTCACGACACTTATTTGCTTGACACACCACCCTCTCCAATTTGGCCATAATTTAGGCTTCAAGACTTGGTTCCAAGATGGATAACCTTGTGCGAAACTTACGCTTCAAAAATAATTCTACTGGTGTTTTCCCAGTAAAGTTATGTCGAGTCGTTCGGTACCCAAAAATAAAGTTATCAACTTCGTGTTGAAGGCTCCTGTAACCTGTTTCTTTTGTCTTCTAACGACTGCTTCAGCAGCGACTGCTTTACAGTTTATACTGCGCGTTCTCCTGAACCATTAGACCGCGGATGATACGGCGGCGTGAGGGTGTGCTTAACACCGTTAGCTGACAAAAAATCTTCAAATTATTTTGCTCGGACTTGCGGCCCATTAGCTGTTACTACCTCACATGGTAAACCATGACTTGCAAACAATGACCGCACTGTTTCCACCGTCCTTTGAGCCGTGGTAGAGCTCATGATCTTTACCTCTACCGATTTCGAGTAGGAATCTACAGCCACAAAAAACATGTTGTGCTCTTTTTGAGCAAAGTCGAGATGTACTCTCTCCCAGCTGTTCGTACACCACCTCCAAGGGATCAAGGGTGCTGGTTGCCCCACTGATCTAACACTTTAACAGATGTCCCACTGTCTCACACTCTGTTTACGACAGCTGTCAATTCCTGGCCACCAGACCATGGAGCTGGCTAGTGCCTTCATTTTGGTAATACCAATATGCTGTTCGTGCAGCAAAGACACAACTTCCTTTTGCAAAGGCTGTGATACCACCACTCTGTTGGCCCAACTTAAGCAACCGTCATCTACAGAAAAATCAAAGCGCCTAACAAAGAAAGGCTGAAGCTGTTCGTTAACAGATCGGGGCCAACCGTTCCACGTCGTTTCGCGCACTGCACTTAAGATCGCGTCTTTCGGGGTTTCTCGTTCAATAACTTTGGCGGTTATCGGCAGTTCCCTAACAGTTAAAAAGTAAAAAAAATTCCTCATTGTCATCGGCGGTTTCAGACATCGGAAAACGGGACAAGCCATCGGCGTTGGTAATTTTTTTTTCCAGCTTTGTGCCGAATGCGGAACCGATAGTTGGACAAGTATATGACCCAACGGTGCACTCTAGCAGCCGCTACTGCACTGGTATGGTGTTTTGCACCGAAGATCACCGCAAGTGGCTGACTTTCTGTTACTACGGTGAAGGTTCGTTCAGACAGATACTTATGCAATTTTATTCAAAAGAGGATGACCAGCGCTTTCTTTTCAATGTGTGCATAGTTACGCTCTGCTAGAGTCATAGATCATGACGTAAACGCTATCGGCTTTTCTACGCCATCGACCACGTGTGACAAAACCGCACCTAAACCATACACAGAGGGGTCACACGTCATGTGTATTTCTTTTTTCACGTCATACAGCTCTAGAACCAAGTCGCGGCTGAGCAGCTCTTTACATCGTATAAAACACTCGTCACACTGGATCGACCAGTTCCATACGTTGCCCTTTCGGAGCAGCTGGTGGAGAGGCTCTAGCAAATTTGCGAGATTTGGCAAAAATTTTGCGTAGAAGTTTACGCGTCCTAAAGATGCATTCAGCCATGTCAGATTACTGGGTTTTGGCGCACCTCCAATGGCCTTCACCTTGTCTGCTGTAGGATGCAGACCCTGGTTATCTGGCTCGTGTCCCAGCTACTGAACGTGTTCTTGAAAACAATTGCATTTCGTTGCGTTCACCCTGACGCCGTGTTCACTCAGCGCCTTTACCACTTCCTCTGTGCGACTGTAGCACTCTGTTTGGTCTACGCCAGCAATCAGCACGTCGTCCAAGTAACAGGCAGCACCAGGAATGCATTGTAAAACCTTGTCCATCACGGCCTGTAACATGGCGGGTGCACCTTGCTACGCTATATGGTAACCGCTGGAACCTAGAAAAACCTAAAAAGGCCGGTGTGCGTGTTTACCGGGGGCAGCTGTTGCGCTCCCTCGTCCAACTCGAGCTGTAGGTAGGCCCTAGAGAGGTCCAAAACTGTAAACACGGTTCCACCAGCCAGGGTCGTAAAGATGTTCTCAGGAAGTCGTAAAGAAGAGTGGTTCACTTCAATGGCCTGGCTCACCGTTACTCTGTAGTCCCCACACATCCTTATTTCTTTGCAACCACTTTTCGGCACAATTACTAGAGCCCACGTCCTGTGCCTGACCCGGTAAATGACACCCGCCTTTCCTAAGTCTGCCAATTATTTTCCCCCTGCTCGCGCAAAGCATATGAAACTCGTCTCGCCTTTCGAAAAAACGGTATTTGCGTCGGCTTTTAACCTAAGGCTACCTTTGAAGCCCTTGATAGCTCCATACCCGGGTTCACACATGTCAGCATACTGCTCTTTTAGGCATTTTTGTGCCTTCACTGTTTCTGTGTTTCTTGCCGCTTGTACTATCGCGTGCAATATGAGTTGAAACAGTGATCCGGCCTGTACACGGTACTACCTGGGCCGCCTGCCGCATCGCTCCGTAAACACGGCGCACCTGAAGGCCAAGATAAATTCTCACTTGCGCTCACTGCGCCGCTGAGCTCTTCCGGCCGTCTGCTAGCGAAAATATTGGCCGACGGAACTACCATCACGATGCGCGTGCCGTGTAGCTCAATGTTCACGTTTTCAGCTGACATGCATCTCAGTGAATTTCAAGAAAGCGCCGAAGTAGAAAATGCGTTGTCACGCTCGTATCTCTTTGAGGGACGCTGCCTGACGAAGCTGCCTTGGCCTCCAAAAGGAGCCGATCTGAATATCATCAAACACATTTGGAGGCGCATCAAGGTAGCCATGTCACGGCGTCCCCTCCACCGCGCCACTGACCACAAATTGTGGAAAGCAATGAGAGGTGAATGGGAGTGGCTTCGGGCTGAGCCAGAGTTCGTTGCCGCGCCTTATGATTTCTTATCAAACATGATGAGAGCCGCAATCACATGTCAGGGGAAAATGACGCCGTATTAAATTATTTTGTAAGTTTCACTGAGCCTCAGGACCCCCTGAATCGAACTTCTGCCGATTGGAACAAAGCTGGATGCTACGGTTGCGACACACTGTTTCACTGGTGCCTCCTTGATCCCGACCTTCTTGTATATTGCACTTGAACTGCCACGCCGACTAATAACCTTTGGTGTCTTACCTTGTCCTCTGCAAATATTCTTTCGATGAAGTTTCAGGCTCCTTCTCCTAGCAAATATATGACTGGTTGTCCCACTATATTAAGACTAGGAATTTGTAAACAAAAAACTGGTGTCTTGTCAGCAACTTGTTTTGTTTGAAACAAACACGTGGGCCCATTAATAAACAAATCGTATTTTTGAACGATTTAATATTAATCAAAATGGCAACACCTTCTCAGTAACTTGTATGGTTACCGTTTTTCTAAAGAGCTGTGGACAATAAAAAAGGAAAAAAAAAAGTAAATCCCTTGGAGCCGGACTAAATCCGGCATACAGATTTTAGCCTATATATAACTATGTCTTACTTTGGGCTTGCACTTAATCAAACAAAAACAACCTGCAAGGTATTTTGATGTGGCTTTCAAAAACGGTAGTCGCAGCTGCAATTTAGGAAACTTCAACAATTTTTCTTCCCCAGTCAGCGTTTTTTCTACGTGATTCTGGGCGATAGAGTAAAATAGATCAATTCCAAAAGAGGGACAACAAGTGTAATCTTTAGCCCCCCCCCCCCCCCCCCCCCCCTTTTCCCCGCCCTACTACACACATGCCCGCTGTCGCACCCGCCGTCTCACTTGCAGACTGCCGGATGAGCGCAGTGGCGCAGCGAGCGCAAGGGAGATTTTATCTCGGCCCCAGTCTGTGCCGTGTGCGCGGAGCAAGGCGACAGGCGGCGCAGGTAGCACAGTGCGCTGGGCGGAGCGCTGTTTCAGCTCATATTGTCCGCGATGGTACTTTAAGCGCAACTTCGGTTAGATTCTGCACAGCGTCATGCAGGTCTATCTTAATTTTCGCGAGCCAGCCACGACCCAGAAGAGCCGGCATACTAGCACCGTTTTCCTGTCTAGCAACTACGAGTGGCAAGTGATACGTTTCATTTCCATAGCTAACTTCGACCTGCGCAACTCCCTTTACGCCAATGGAAGTACCATTGTACACTCCGAGATTAACATCTTCGTTCCGGCATGCCTTATTTGGGAAATGCTCGGCAACGCCTTTTTCTGACATTATAACATTATAATAATAACAGACGGTATCTAATTCCATCGCAGTTTCTTTACCGTTGAACGTAAGCCTAACAACGATGGGAGGCGGACTTCTAGCATTGTTCGCTTTACAATTCGCAAGCAAGTCTTTCTCTTCGAGTCTCTCCTGAACCTTGGGCACGACCTTTGTCTTGCACATTCCGGTTACGTGCCCTGGTTTGGAACACACAAAGCAGCGGCTATTCAAGAAAGGGCAACTTACAGGCGCATGTTGTCGGCCGCATCTATGACAAGCGTGAACATTTTGGTTGGTCTTTCTTGGCAGGTACCTTTCTGGCGGCTGACGTCTCGCTGCTTATTCCTAGTTGCTTTGTCGCGGCCGGCTTGCGTGACTTGCCGAAGCCCCGGTGCCTCTACACGACCTCGGAGCTTGTTGTGGCGGTGTCATCCAGCATGTCCTTGGTGTCCTTTTGTGCTGCTTCCATGGCAGTGACGATGTTGCAGGCTCGCTCGCATTGACCTCGTTGTCCGGCTGCGCAAGAAGACGGCACCAGATGGTGTCCGTCTTCCGGCAATCGGCCGGTCTCAAAGAGTGTCCTAATGGAAGTTTCCAAAGGAACACGTCGAAGCCTGTCTTTTCAGTGCCACGGTAAATTGTGGGATGCTTTCACTTGGCTCCTGGTGTCGCCGATAGAAGTGGTCCCTCTCGGTAACCACGGACGGTTTCGGAGCGTAGTGCTGCTGCAGTACCTTCGCCGCATCTTCGTACCTCACCTCGGTGGGCGTCTTCGGCAACAGCAGACTGCGTAGCGTCACGTAAGCCTTTTCTCCTAGTACTGTCAAGAAGACAGTCAACTTCTTACTGGCGTCAATTCTGTTGGCACTTGAAAACAGCTCGAACTTTTCGAGATAGATGTCGATGTTGCCTGTGTCCTGGCAGAACTCTGCCAGCTTTCCTAGGGAGGACGTCATTGCGTCTGGCTGGTCTGGCTTCACAATACCATCCTCGTCGCCATTTGTTACATAGGCCAACGCAGTCTGTTTCAACAAGTTTATTTCCAGACAGCATCTGCTGTACATACAGTTCGCGTATCTTTTTATATAGGTAAAAACGAATAAAAGATTACCCGGCGTCGCTGGTTATCACAGCAGGCGCTAAAGTGCGCTCCCCAATGCTGATACATGGCTAGGCCAGCGTACAATAGGAAATCGCTGATACAACACATAGTATCTGGAGTATTCCAATGGCCGTGCGCTATGCCGACAGCGATGCATGTGAGGCACGGGAGTACTTCCACGAAGGTGTAATAACAAACGTCGAAGATAGGAACACACAGCACTGCGTTTCTGAGTGACTCCTGAACATCCAAGTGCTGCTGTCGATGAGGCAATTTTAGAACTTGAGAGCTAGCCAAACGTTGGCTCGACTTTTTAACTTCCATTTACTTTTAGCTTGCCTCGCTTTATGCTTGTGTCCTTGCGTTTGATTTTACATGTTAAGAAACCGGTAGTAAAGAAAAAAAGAGTGTCGTGACATGCTGGAAAGACACTCGCTTAACGATCGAAATGGTTTGGGCTCGATTCCCATGCGGCGGAAGTGCTTTTTTACAGCGATGCCCTTTTTCTTGCAGTCAGAATCAATCAGAGCCGAGCCTCGCGGCCACGCTTTTATCCAGGCTTCATTTTTGGGCTTAACGAAATGCCGAAAACCCAGTGAAAGAACGTTTCACGTTAAAAAAAGAAAAAAATTCTGCTGTCAGACTTAGTTTTGTACTTTTTTTATGCCTTGTACAGATTAGTCATGACTGCAATTTACTTCAAGGAGAGTTAGTTTTAATTCCAGAGGGTGCTGTTTTTACGGAACGATACAAACTTGCGTTCAAGTATAAAGTTTGTATGTTGTTCTTCTCTTTGCTTTTTTTAAATTGTTTCTTCTACGCACTTGTTTATGTGACCCCCCCCCCCCCACACACACACACACACTTCCGTTGCATAATGCCTAAATGCGCAGTAGGCAGGATGTAAATGAGAATAAACGAAGAGAAAATAATAAAAGTAATTGACCGGGAACTTATAATGGAACGGTAAGGAGTGCCTACAGAAGTATCTCTTTAACACAACTACACTCCTCGTAAACTTTTTCTGGATCTGTTGCAAGGCTAGCGTGACTTTCGCAGTGCTCGAAAACGTCCACTTCGCACGCGAGCGGTGACAATGAGACGAGAGACGAAGCAACGTCCATTGCTCTGGCAGCAGCCGGGCTGAATCACTTTGGAGGCGGCGCTAGCCTTGGCAACGTAGCTTAAAACAGTATACATAGGGTTGAGCTTCTTGAGGACAACCAAGTGTGAAAGTCACTTTGGCGTACTCGAAGAAGCGCTCCGTGCATCCCGAAATAATAGGGTTGAATATAAATTTTGAAATCGTAGAACACGTGAAGGAGGTTTGGCGGTTTTTCGTGGGAAACCCACTGGACAAACCCTGAAGTTAGATCACCACACGTTAAACGTCAAGAAGAGACAGAAAGAGTTTTAGCTGAGTTGGAGTCAGGAAGCAAAGCGATACAGTATTATATTCTGCCTCGTGACATGTGGTGTACTTCCAACTGTTATATGACAAAAAACGAAAATTATATTTCCTTGAAGCGAGACAACTTCATTTCTCGACCGCAGAAAAGATCGGTAATCTAGAATACGCTGTCAACACCACCTCGATCAATCAAGGCCTGCGAGCGACCTCCCCCTCCGCCATAGAACGTCACCACTGTTTGATGGCACAAGTGAACCCGAGCCCGGTGCCAGAGGTCCTTCAATGCATTGATTGGACACGAGGCTTCGCCGAGCGCTGACGCAGCACCCGTTTCCAATTTGTGTTTTCTCTCAATCTCACCGTGATGACGTCAGAGGTTTAGTGCACAGGCTGTGATTATTCTAGATGGTGTCGGCCCTGTAGAGTATAGTCTTGCATATACAGGGTATTCCATATAAGTTGAGCCAAGATTTAGAAATATTCCGGTGCATTTTAGGAAGACCAAAGCAAACATATAATTTTGTTCATTGTTTCTAACGAGTCAATATATTTGTTGTGTTTTTTCCAATGAACTAATTAATTAAGACCAAGCAATTAACTTTTGAAATATTCAATTTTAAGCTAAAGCTCAAATGACAAAGTTGTAGAGCGTCCCCAGAAACATCGAATTCAGTGGTTTTATTTAAGAAACCTCTAACAAGGTTCGTTCTTCCGGGCTTCAAAAAAAAATGTCCGAATTATAAAAAAATGCGAATTTCTCAAACAGCTTTCAGTCAACAGGGCTCTATTTAGCATTCATGCATGGTATATTGAAGCCACGGCTGAGAGCACTGCAATACAACGTGCACATGCTCAAAGTAACACTTTTTTTATAATTAAAAAAAATATTTCGAAGCTCATAAAGGAAAGAAAAATTCTAGGTATCTTGATAAAAAAAACACACTTAATTGAATGCTTCTGGGGACGCTCTGCATATTTGTCACTGGAACGTTTGCTCTAAAGTAAATATTAAAAAGGTTAATTCATTAAGAAAAACTAATTATTTAATTGGCAAAAATAAAAAAATAGCCTGACGCTCCAAACAATGAAAATATTTATTCGCTTGGTTTCGTATTTCTAAAATGCACCAAAGATATGTGAACCTTAGCTCAAGTTACGTGGAATACCTTGTGTATTTGGTTACCAACACATGGGTTGCTCCTGTAACATTTTAGTGATTCTCTTCAAGATAACACATTTTCTTACCATTGATGTTTCGTACAAGTTCCATGACTGCAGGAAGACGTTTGGGCCCGTGATTTTGCACGTTGTACCAGAAATGCTATCTTCTATGTGTGTCCTAATTATGATGGCGTCGATGGGAGCAGTGCTGAAGACATGGACAAACGGGCCTTAGTATTAGAGACGGGAATCACAGATGGGTTAAGTGTTTAATGCTCCGTCACCTAGCGCTGTGTGGAACGGTTTTCGATTGTTCTTGAAAGGCTGACTAATCCTCACTAGGATACCTTATATTTATTGTGAAGGAGACAGAGGCTTGACGACCGGTTTTAATTATGCTTATATTTAAACTGACCCGGGCGCTGCCCCGAGGGGGCAGCGCGAGCTATCGGGGACGGTGGTGATGATGGCGATAATCAGGGTGATGGCTGCACGGGCCGATGGATAGGTCACATTGTATACGGAATCCCGCCCTTAATGTTACTCCCATTTATCATCCAAAAAGGTGACTGAAGCGCAACCGGCTGTTCAAGACGTGCGCGCGCGAGCTCCGCCGGCTACAACAATGAAACAAAAAGAAGAAAACAAGAGAAGCAGAACGGAGAACATCATGACGCGTCTATATTCTGTTCACTCTTAGGTTGAGAATGCAGCCGATGCCACAAGCACGAGAGCTCGAGGTTGCTGCTTTAAAGCGTTCTTCCGCAGAATGAACACTCGCGCTAGAAATGCACGTCTCAAAGCCAGGAGCGTGGGATACTTCGCGCTTGTAGGTATGGCGGCAGTCTCAGCTTAAGAGTGAACAGAATATAGAAAGCTTCGCCATCTGCAAAAAACTTCAGAAACAAGGCGAAAAAAAAAAACGGGTACAAAGAGCGAATATGTTGAAGCCGTGTCAATTTTACCATGCCGTATGGTGAATGCCGATGGTAGCTTTCAAACGCTTTCCAAAATCTGCGAGGGAGATAGTAATCAGCTCCGTTTGCCCCTAACCACACTCTTAAAAAAAAAAAAAAAAGGTGCTGTAGTACCCTTTTTAAGGGGGTAAGCGATTTGCACACAGGGCTAACCCTTTTTGGAGGTAACGCTAACCCCTGCAACGAGGGTGCGAACTTACCCCCTGGGTTAGGGTGCAACATTGCCTCCTTTTGGAGGTAACCTTAGTTCCTTTTGGGGTTAAAAGTGCATCCTTTCAAGGTCAGCCTTTACGTCGTTTAGGGGGCAACTTCAATCATATTGAGAGGTAAGACGACATAATTGAGGGCGCTGATTTTACCTATTTTTGGAGACAACAGCACCTGCTATAGAGGGCTGGCTTTCGCTCCATATATAGGGAACAGTTATCCCATATGGGGGGCAATAGTACACGCCCCTAGTTTCAACTTTACCCCATTATGGAGGGAACTATGATCCACCTTGGGGTTAAATGTACACGATGAAAAAAACAGCTCAGAAAACGCGGACTACCAAAAACAAACACGACAGGACAGGGCTGTTCTGTCGTGTTTGTTCTTCCTAGTCCGCGCTTTCAAAGGTGTTTTCCCCATCATGTATAACAGCGACCAACTGGCCCAGTTGACCACTTTATTACAGGTTAAATGTAGACTTGATGGAATCAATTTTACCCCCTAAAGAAAGGTACTATGGCCCTTTGCGGGCGTGATAGTACATGCTTCAATGGTGGGCCTTATAATAGATGAAGACGGCCTAGTTCTGAAAATAAATGGCAATGTTTTATTGTGGCTGTCACAAACAAAATGGCATAAAAATCAATGGCATGGCTAGACATCTTATAAAAGTTACAAGATGAAACCACTAAGCGCATTAAAGACATTTGGACCAACACT